TGGTCTGGACAAGATGGCCCAGCACCCTGTCCAGTTGAATCTTAAAAGTGTCCGATGTTGGGGAATCCACCACTTCCCTGGGGAGATTATTCCAATGGCTCATTGTTCTCATTGTGAAAAATTTTCCTTGTGTCCCATCAGAATCTCCCCAGGAGTAACTTGTACCCATTACCCCTTGTCCTTTCGATGTGACTCCTTGTAAAAAGGGACTCTCCATCTTCTTTGTAGCCACCCTTTAAATACTAGAACGTGGTGATGAGGTCTCCCCTAAGCCTTCCTTTCTCAAGGCTGAACAAACCAAGTTCTCTCAGCCTTTCCTCATACGGCTGGCTTCACAGCCCTTGGGCCATCTTTGTGGCCCTTCTCTGGACACTCTCTGGCCTGTCCACATCTTTTTTGCATAGCTGGGACCAAAACTGAACATAGTGTTCCAGGAATGGCCTGACAAGCATAATGGGATAATGACTTCTTTATCTCTGCCGGTGATGCCTTTGTTGATGCAACCCAGCATCCTACTGGCTTGCTTTGCCGCAGCAGCACACTGTTCACTCATGTTGAGCTTCCTGTCCACCAGGACCCCCAGGTCCCTTTCCACAGAGCTGCTTCCCAGCCAGGTAGATCCCAGCCTGTGCTGCACTCCTGGATTATGTTTTCCCAGGTGCAAGACCTTACACTTGTGCTTGTTGAAATTCGTAAGGTTCTTGTTAGCTGACTCTTCCAGCCTATCCAGATCTTCCTGCAGGGTGGCTCTCCCTTCCAGAGTGTCTACTTCCCCACTCAATTTGGTGTCATCTGCGAACTTCATCAGGGTACACTTAGGAAGATATTAAACAATGTTGGGCCCAATATCGATCCCTGGGGGACCCCACTTGTGACAGATTGCCAGTTTAAATGGAGCTATTTACCACCACCCTCTGGGTGCAGCCTGTCAGCCAGTTCCCCACCCACTGCACAGGCCACTTGTCTAGACCGCAACACATTAGTTTCTCTAGGAGGAGGCTGTGGGAAACCTTATTGAAAGCCTTGGAGAAATCCAGGTAGACAGTGTCCACCGCTCGCCCCACATCAACCGAGCAGGTTACTTTGTCGTAGAAGGCGGTCAGGTTTGTCAAAAATTATTTGCCCTTTGTGAATCTATGCTGGCTTTTCCCAGTCACGTGCTTTATTTGATTTGTGATAGCCCCCAGGAGGATTTGTTGCATAACTTCCCCAGGGACTGAAGTAAGATTGATGCGCCTGTAATTTCCTGGATCCTCCTTTAAGCCCTTCTTGTAGATGGGGGTGACATTAGCCTTCTTCCAGTCTTCTGGGATGTCCCCCAATCTCCATGACTTTGCAAAGATTATGGAGAGTGGCCTCACAACGACATCAGCCAGCTCTCTTAACGCCCTCCGGTAGATAACGTCAGGGCCTGTCGATTTGTAGGGGTCAAGCTCCTGTAATAGTTCACATACCAACTCTTCTTTCACTGACAGTGGTCTGTGTTTGCATCAAGCAGGATTTTTGTTCCCAAGGCCTGGGGCCCAACAGTGCTGGTAAAGACAGAGGTGAAGAAAGTGTTGGGAACCTCTGCCTTGTCAGCATTGTTGGTGACTAATTCACCTCTCCTGTATAACAGCAGGACAATATTTTCTTTCTGCTTCTGCTTGTTGTTTATGTACCTGAAGAACCCTTTCTTGTAGTTTTTGATGTCTCTGGCCAATTTCAATTTGAGCTGAGCTTTGGCTTTTTTAATGGCATATCTGCACACCTTGGCAATGCCCTTGTAGTTCTCAGTGGGTATTTGTTCACTTTTCCATATCTGGTACGCTTCTCTTTTGGTTTTGAGCAGACTCAGAAGCTTGCATTTAAGCCAAGGGGGTCTCTTGCTTCACCTACTTCCCTTACCTTTAAAGGGGATGAACTGTTTTTGTGCTTCCAGGAGAGCCTTCTTGAAAAACTCCCAGCACTTGCTAGCTCCTTTACCCTCCATGGAAGCTTCCCACAGAATCCCTCCCAACTGAGCTCTGAAAGAGCTGAAATTTGCTCTTCTAAAATCTAAAACCTTTGTCTTAGTACTAACCTTCATTGTGCTCAGCAGCATCCCAAACTCCACGATATTGTGATCGCTGCAGCCAAGGCTGTCACTAACCAAGAATATTACAAAGCAGGTTTTCTTGGTTTGAGAGTAGCAAGTCCAGCAGTGCCTCGTTCCTGGTTGGCACATCTAATATCTGTATGAGGAAGCAGTTCTCTACACATTCCAGGAACTTGATGGTTGACGTGAGCTGCTGTATTGTTCTTCCAACAAATGTCTGGGTAGTTGAAGTCACCCATAAGAACCAGGTTCTGTTGACCCAAAGCTTGCTTAAGTGACTCAAATATTGCTTCGCTGGCCTTACTGTCTTGGTTTGGAGGTTGGTAGCAGATGCCTACTGTAAGATCCCCCTTGGAGATGACCCCTCTGATCTTGACCCAGAGGCATTCGATAGGGCTTCCACAATCTCCGTAGTTGACTTCTGTACATTCAGGGTTCTCCTTAACGTAGAGCACGACTCCTCCTCGTCTTCTTCCCTTCCTGTGTTTATGAAACAGCCTATAGCCATCCATTGTGATCCTCTGGTCATGTGAGTTGTCCCACCATGTTTCAGTTATTCCTATGATATCATAACTTGCCCCCTCTTCTTGGCCCAGAGGCATTCGATAGGGCTTCCACAATCTCCGTAGTTGACTTCTGTACATTCAGGGTTCTCCTTAACGTAGAGCACGACTCCTCCTCGTCTTCTTCCCTTCCTGTGTTTATGAAACAGCCTATAGCCATCCATTGTGATCCTCTGGTCATGTGAGTTGTCCCACCATGTTTCAGTTATTCCTATGATATCATAACTTTCTGACTGGGTACGGAGCTCGAGTTCCTCCTGTTTGTTCCCCAGGCTGCGTGCATTGGTATACATACACTTGAGGTGGTTGGTCTTCTGGTTCTCATCTTGGGAGGCAGCTAAGGAACATTTGTCACTGCTCTGGTTGGCCTAGCTTATTCCCCAGTTGGTTGCAATGGCGTGAGTGTTGCCACTTTGGACCCCGTCCCCTGAGTCCTTCAGTTTAAAGCCCACCTCACCAAGTTGGCCAGCTTGCTGCCAAAGATTCCCTTGCCTCTTCTAGACAGGTGGATCCCATCCCTGCCTCACAGGCTATAGTCATCAAAGAATGTCCTGTTGTCATAAAAGCCAAAACCCTGACAATGGCACGAGCCACAAAGTCAGAAGTTGATTTGCATTATACATCTATTTCTGGCTGCACCCTTTCCTCTAACTGGTAAAATAGAAGAAAAGATAACTTGGGTACCAGTGCTTTTCGCTTGCACCCCCGGGGCTTTGTAGTCTCCCTTGATTCTGCCCAGGTTCCGGCTTGCGGTGTCATTGGTGCCCACATGAAAGAGTAGCAATGGGTAGTAGTCTGTGCTTATCTGTCTCTGTCTTGGCCTCTCTCATACTGCTGAGCCTTTTAACTGTTTCCTGCAACTCGGCCACCTGACACAACAGATCATCAACCTGTGCACATCTTTTGCTGGTACTTACCTTTTCTCCAGGAGGAGGGTCTGGGCACTCGTTGCAACCTACCGTCTGTACTGAAGTCTTCTTCCTTACCAGTTCCGTCTGGGTGGAAGCATCAGACATCTCAGGGGCTTTCTCTGAAGAAACACTGATCTTAATGTTGAGGCGAGTACCCACCATTATGGCTGAGACCTAGAGCACTTCCCTGGGCTGTGGGCCTACAAGCAGGGTGCACAGCCCTTCTCATGAGCCCTTCTGTGTGAACTGCTGTGCCCTCTCGATCCCGGCTCTTGGTGGGGCTCTCTGCTCTTCCTCAGGTTTCCCTGGCTCCAGGAACCTCCCTGTACACCTCAACCTAGCACTCGGCTACAGAACTTACCATTGCCGCACGTGCATGCCTCGCCGACTGAGTATTTCATTCTCTCCTGTCAATAATTTTTGCAACTCAATAAAGCAGGGTTCTTTTGAAGTACTAAAGGGATTCTGGCAAGCATCACTGTGTTTTAGCCTTTATTTATATTTTAAAATTATCACTTTTTGGATTGCCCCATTTCTGAAATGGAAATTACCAAATGGATCACACAGTATTGTCTTTTACTTTCTCAAAATTCGTATCAGGCCAGAAGAAATGATAATGGCCACATAGACCAAACTGGGGAGACTCAAAGCTACAACTCTGCTTACAGTTCTAGCTCTGTACCTGCGAGTTGTTACTTGCTTCTTGTGCTAGGTTGGTTTTTTTTCTTCCTAAAAGAACAGGTGTCTCCTAAAAACCTTGACGGTCACCCCTTCCTTTTTCAGACAGCTCTCTTGGTACCTTCCTGACCACCTGCAACATCATTTACTGTGCTCTTCCAAACTCTGTACATGTCAATAGTAACCCTCTCTAATCCATCCTCTAGTGAGTGCAGAACTGATTTGCCCAACCCCTCTTTGCCATTATAACCTTTGAGGCGTTTAGTCATCTTTTCCTGCAGTGATGATTTCAAGTTTCCTCTTTTCTTTCACTTTTGTGATTATTAAGGCCTCATCTTTCTAGGCACTTTCCAACCTTGTTATTCCTGTCTTATTAATATTGAAATTTCATAAATCATGTGTCAGGCTTTTAGTTACCATGTCCTTTTTCATTAATTCATTATAATACTGCCTTACCAATCATTTTATCTCATTATCTGCACATTTTTAAACATTAGTAAAAACTGTATGCCAAGTGTATCTGTAAATTACCTTAGCAGTAGCAGTCTATGAATGCAGACTTAGAGAGCACCCTACCGGTATCATTATTGAAATGCAGCCGTGGAAACAAATCTGCACACACAGGTAAAATTAAACCAGTGACATTTTAAACAATTATGTCGATAGTATCTGCGATTAAGAGTTAGTGTCTACTGCATTGAGTAGCTAAGGTAGCAGTAGTGATGCAGTGATGCAAGTATCAACTGTTGGATAATATCTGTTTACACTTAGATTCATGGAAAATCTGCAAACAGAAGTCCAAGAAATGGAATTCATAAAGTTTTCGAAGGGTTTGAATGTCATGAGAAAAGAAGACTTTGCAGAATGGTTACTGTACTTCACCGATGAGGAAAACAATGAAATTTACTGGCAGAATGTGAAAGACAGAATTGAGGCAGGAGAGGTTGGTACATAAAGCATGCTTTGTTTGCTTTTTTGCTTCGTCGTTTGTATGTACAGGTTTTCATTTGAATATGAGTATCTAACAATGTAACTAGTTTCCAAGTGAATTATTGTAGAATCTGAATTTTGTGCTAATAAGAACAATGATAATTTGCCAACTGAGAAATACAAATATTGACGAGTTAGCAACCACACCTAAACAATAGATCCCACCAGATTTACTGAAATAGATTTACTGGGGTTTTAATGTGTTATTCATTATATATCATCTGAATTCTGTGATACTCTAGAATATCAGTTTGGAAGAATTCAAGACTTTTTGCAAGTTTACAAACAACCTGGAAGACTTTTCTATTGCCATGCAGATGTTTACTGTAGCTAATCGTCCTGTTAAACGGGGTAAGCACACCTTTCGTATGTATTTTTTTAAAAAGAAAAAAATGCGGTTTTTTTACAGAATTGATGTAAATAAGTTATCCCAAAGTAGCACTATGAGGTCCAAAAATAGTATATCACTCTTTGTTCTGAATTAATTCTATTTTGTGGAAAAAAAAATAATGTAAAGTTCCCAAAATGTTTTGATTTGTAAGTTCTAATTGCTATCATATGCTGAACCACTCACAGCAGACTAAACCGTAGAATCATAGAATGGTTTGGGTTGGAAGGGACCTTTAAAGATCATCTAGTCCACCCCCCTGCCATGGGCAGGGACATCTCTCACTGGATCAGGTTGCTCAAAGCCCCGTCCAACCTGACCTTGGAACACTTCCAGTGATGGGGCATCTACAGCTTCTCTGGGCAACCTGTTCCAGTGTCTCACCACCCTCATCGTAGTAAGTTTCTTCCTTGTGTCCAGTCTAAATCTACTCTCTTTCAGTTTGAAACCATTACCCCTTGTCCTGTCACTACAGGCCTTGGTAAAAAGTCTCTCTCCATCTTTCTTATAAGCCCATTTTAAGTATTGAAAGGCCACGATAAGGTCTGCCTGGCGCTTTCTCTTCTCCAGGCTAAACAACCCCAACTCTCTCATCCTTTCTTCACTGGAGAAGTGCTCCATCCCTCTGATCGTTTTTGTGTCCCTCCCCTGGACCCACTCCAACAGGTCCGTGTCTTTCCTGTGCTGAGGACCCCAGAGCTGGATGCAGTACTGCAGGTGGGGTCTCACCAGAGCAGAGCAGACCAGAGGGGCAGAATCACCTCCCTCGCCCTGCTGGCCACACTTCTTTTAATGCAGCCCAGGATACGTTTGGCTTTCTGGGCTGCGAGAGCACATTGCCGGCTCATGTCCAGCTTTTCATCCACCAGTACCCCCAAGTCCTTCTCCGTAGGGCTGCTCTCAGTCCAGTCTAAATTCTAGATGAGGAAGGATTCATTGAAACAGTACATGCTTCAGCAGCAGTTCATGGTAACAAAGCTTTTTCCTCATAGTGAAACTAGTTTTCTGAGGAAACTAAACAACAGAAATCTCTTCTTTTACAGACTGTAGCATCTTGCTGCGTTTTACTTATGTCTCCATACTGCCTTCTCCATGTGCTTATGTAGCGTTATGCAATCATGGCTATGAAAAATGTAGTGAAGTGATTTTTAAAATAAAGATTTGGAGGAGGGCAATTGCTTCTTTCCCATATAGTAGAAATAGGAGCAAAGCAACAAAAGTTTCATGGACATACAAATGCTTTTTCTTATAATCCTGAGGTTGTTACTTACTTGTTATACTTGAAAGACAGCTATCATAAGTTATTTGAAAATAGTAATGTAAAATGCTCCTAAGGAAATTTGATGAGACATTAACATTCATTGAAATAAATATTTGATGGGCTCATGTGAAAAAGGTGAGAGATGTGAGAAGAGAGGAAGAGAATTCAGTATTATTGAGAGAGAAATGTGAAGATCGTTTGAACCAAGGAAGGCCAAGGGGGAGTTTACAACTTGTGACTTTCATGACTAGTTAATCCAGCCTTCAGGAAGAGTTTCATTTCCACAGCCTCTCCGGGCGGCTGTTCTAGTGCTTGACCACTCTCATTATGAAGACTTTTCTGTGTCAAACCCTTGCTGCAACTTACAATGATTGTGTCTTACCTCCATGCACCTCTGAGAAAAATATGGCACTCTTCTCTGTAACCCCTTTTAGGTGGTTGAAGGCTGCAGCGAGATTCCCCCCTTAAGCTTCTGTCCTCCCCAGCTCCCTCAGCTTCTCTTCTTCGATCATGTGCTCCAGTTCCCAGCTGGGTTCCTGCCCCTCCTCTGTCTGGTTTGACAACATCTTTCTTCTGTGTGAGGAGACAGATTTTATTTGCACAAGGTGTACAAAGAGTGGAGAGGAAAGAGGATGAATTAATGGTGAAATAATAGTCGTAAGTGAGACACGAGAGTTTAGCTCACTTCTCTATTAAATATCCCATTTTTAAGTGCCAAAGGATGATTAGGCCAATAGTTGGTGTTGACTCAGGTAATGTTTCTTTGTAAAAATTCATTCCTAACCAACAGGCAGTTGGGACTCTGTTTATGTACTGAACCGTACTGTGATCGAAAACAGTCAGCTCCTGAGGTAACTCATGGATGTTACATGTATACATGTCTAATCCTTTCCTGAATCTCACTAAGTTCTTTGTCTTGCTGTTTGCATGTGTGTACATGTGTGTATTGACACACATAAAGAATATTTGTCTAAAAATAAGACAGTCCTTTAGTCCTTCCTTTTATTCTAGAGTTTTCTTTCTTCTAAGTTAGCAGCTCACTTTTCCTCTCTGATAAGGTGGCCCTTCTTGGTTTGAAGATTATTATGCTCCACCACTTTAGATCTTTCTCCTTTTCTTCATGTTTTGCTCAATAAAGTGCAGTGCCATCTCTGGATTTATATTTACCTTCAAGAGCTGAAACAGTTAACATCTTTTTGAAGACAAAATTAAGACTCTACTATAAGCATCCCATATTTCCTGTGCTTTTCAAATTGTGGTATATCCTTTTACAGAAGGATTTTCAACTTAATTATACTTAAACCAACTGTAAATTAATCAACTGCATTTATACAGGAACTGTTCAAAGAGGCAAAGATGAGAGCTAAGCCGGGAGTGCTCTTTCCTTTAGTAAGCTGCAGAACTATTCATATTTATAGCACTATTTATAAACAGCACTTGTTTATGAAAGCAGAACCACATTATTACTATATTTATGGCTTAGTTGGACAACTTGCTGTAATAATCTACAATACTGCTATACTTTAATAACCTCCAGTCCCTCCTTGAAATTCACGTTTCTGTGATGCCTTCAAAAATGCATCCACTTCATGTGTTGTGATTGTGCTTGCTGTAATAAACAATAATGATTTCACTCTTACTATCTGCTGTTTTACGGCAAGCCCACATATTTCCTCATCTTCCTTGAGTCAAAACTCCAAATTCTTTACACCACAAGACCAAAAGTGGGGATAGTAGGTATTACCATAATGCACATGGTACAGTAAAGAGAGAAGGCCAAAAAGCTGAAGAGTGAAGTAGATCTCCAGAGAGGTATGACAGATTTTTCTGCCATAAATCCTCATAAACTCTTCCATGATAATTTAAAAGAAGGTAGTGTACTTCTTTAAAACACAGAACTACAGGTATATAAAGCCATGTGCTATGAACAGTCCGATGAGTATTTGATGGCCTGTGTTTCTACAGAGTTGCTGAGGGGATTGTCGGTTGAGGTGGAGCATATTGTAAAATAGTGTTCTCTGAGAAGAGTTTTCTTGCAGAATGAGTTGGCATGAAACTGGGTTGAGATAAAATGGTAGTATGTTTTATGAGACCGTAGTGAGGCAAACATTTGTCATCCATATGCACAGGTATCAGCCAAAAGTATGCAAGTTTTCAGCATGCAGCTATTTCTAGCAAAAATTATCACTCTTACCGTTGCTTGAGAAGTAGTGCATTTCAGAAGTTTATCATACCATTAATAAATGTTGTGTTATGAAAGATGAAGCAGGCTCAAGAGCACATGAACCGAGGCCTCCTAGTAGTTTACTAGTTCGCACATCCCAAATTCTTCAGTTAGGATACTCATCAGACATTGTAAATTGTACAGAATCCTGCTATTTATGTGCTTTCCAATTTCTTTACAAGTTTACAGTCACTTATGATGTAATATTATGTCTTTACTAGCTGAGTTCAAGAGAGCAGTGAAGGTGGCAACAGGACAGGAGCTCTCAGATAATGTTTTGGATACCATCTTCAAGATTTTTGATCTAGATGGAGATGACTGCCTGAGCCATGGCGAGTTTCTTGGAGTCCTGAGGAACCGAATTCATCGAGGTTTGAGGGTAACGAGCTGACATCGTTGTTTTTAAATACCACAGATGATTGCTACAACTGTCTCCTTAATGCTTGTAGAAACACAAATAGACATAGTGACTTGAAAGAAGTTATATTTTAAACTGAAAATTCCTTACTGCTCACGAATCTGAGAGGAGTGCTGCCACCAAGAGCTTGTTATTATGCATGTGAACTATGGGAGCAGCAGCGTTGCATTACATATTATATTTACACAGTCTGTGAATAAGAGTCTTTTTTGTGTAAATACTAAACATACTTTAACTTTATCAACAGGTACCGCAACAGCAAGGCATTCAAGGTTACTGGAAGTGTGTGAAAAGAGAAAGCATTAAAGGAGCCAAAGAAGTGTGGAAGCAAACTGGGAAAAGTCCTTTTTAAAGCAGTCCATTGATCTTTTGCTATAAATGTTGTTATTTAGGGGGGTTTGTCTGTCCTGTTTACATAATAGCTGAATCAAAAATACTCTTTTTTTTTTTTACTATAGTTAAACTTTAATTAACCCAGTTTCTAATGCAATAATTTTATATCATGCTAGTGCAATCAGTTTGGTTTACAGAACTGTTATCCCTTTTGACCTCCATACGGAAGTGCTCTTGTTCTAGGGAATAGTGTTGTTTACTCCTCTGTGGAGTCTGACCCTGCACTGTAGCACACAGGATACGGAGGATTTAATAGTGGCCGCTGGCAGGAACGTCACAGCAATATCATCTCCTGTGGGAA